TAGGATTACAGGCGTGAGCCACCGCGCTCGGCCGCTTTTTAGTTTTTATTATGTACTATATGAAATCATATTATTGATATTTTTCAATTTATCTTTTTCAATTAATACATCTTGAAGAGCTTTTCAGCATGAAAACAGTACCTGATGTCACAGATCAATAAATATTTCTTGAATTAAATAATTCATGACTATACAAAGAGATCTACCTAATTATTTTAAGTGGCTACCTGGGAGTTTATAGTAACTAATGATGCAATCTTTATATTCATATTTGTATAGCTTAGGAATACTTTTCTAGAATAGATTATTAAATAAAAACTGTTGTGTGAGAGCTAATGTGAGTTTAAGAAATGTTTTTAAAATAGATTGATGAATTGATCTCAAAAAATATTGTACCAATTTATACCATCACCAACAGTTTATGCAGATACTAGTTTTCCTACACCCTTAACAACAATGGAGATTAGCAGTCACTTTCATTTCTGCAAATTTCATGGGCAAAAAAAATACTGTTAAAATCTGCATTTCCCTGGTTTTCAGTAAGAATGAGCATCATATCAGTAGCTATCCTGTTCTGCTAAGAATTGCCTATTTGTGCACTATCTCTGTGTATCCCTTTTTCACAAGGGTGTTGTGAAATTGATACACAGGAGCACTTTATATATTGTGAGCATAAAGCATTTACTGGTTTTAAATATTGCAAATATTCTCTTCCAGTCTATTGCTTGCTTTCAACTTTATTTATAGTATATTTTGTCATAAAGAAGTTTCAAATCATCAATATCTTATTTTTTTGTCCTTTAGTCTCTTTTATTCTTTTTCTTTTTACTGTCTGAAGGAGTCATTTCATATCCCAAGATCAGATGGCTTATATTTACATGTACATGTAATTTTTTTCCTGCTAAATTTTTTTGACATTTAACTTTTTAGTCCATTTACAATGCTTCTGTAGCATGGTATGAAGAACTAAATTTACCATAGCATTTATAAACATCAATGTTTAGTTATTAAACATATTAGTAACTATTTCAGTGCTATTTATTAATAGTTCCATTGACTTGTTTATTCTTCTAGAGAAGTCCTACCTTATTTCTGTTATTGTTATTTTATACATATTTTAGTATCTGGTTGGGCGAGTCCTGCCAAGTTTTTCTTAGCCACCCTTCTATGTCTTCAAATGATTTTTAAAGTAAGTTTAAAAATTGCCAGTGGGATTTTGATTTGGACTCATTAAAATGATTAACTTGAGAAAATTTGATTATCTTTCAGTGATTATTCTTCTATACAGGAGTATCATGTGTTATTTATTCAAATTTTCTACAATCAGTGAAACACTGTAGATTTTTTCATATTTATCGCACACATCTTAAGATTATTTTTAAGTATTTAATGTTCTTTCAAGCGACTATTACAAGAACATTAGTGATTTTTTAAAGAAAATACTTTTTTTTT